CCCTTGTGGTTTCCTGCAGAAATGGAATCTCATTTGGATTCTCGTCCAAGCTTAGCTGAACTCATGAGAGAAGTGTGTCTTACTGCTGAATGGCATCATATTGGTGTAATGTTAGATTTGGATCCAGACAAGCTCAATGCAATCCATCATTCCACAACCAGTGTAAGCGACAAAACCAGTGACATGTACAAGTTGTGGTTGGATTCCAAACCACAAGCAACTAGGAGACAGCTTGTAGAAGTTCTTGAGAGCATGGACCTCAACAGAAAAGCTCTTGATTATAAAAAGTATCTTAAAGGTAAGATTACTAGTTTTGCTTAAGTACAGTTGGATTTACTGTTGCATCAGCTAGCATAAGTGTATAGGAATGATTCGAAAGTTGGGGGGGACTAAAGCCGGGGGCTGAACATTAAAAAGCATGTGAACATGTACATCATAGGTGCTCTCGACAACTACTGCCTGTCATATTTTATTGTCATATTAATTCACACTATGCACATATTCAAGTTAAATGAAGTTTCAGGCTAATAATAACCTACTAATAACTTGAAAATAAGCCATGTAGCGGTATTTCTTATTGTTCGTCTACCAAAAGTTGGGGGGTGTGCTAAGCTCCTCCTGCTGAAAAGTTGGGGGCTCCCCAGCCCCCCTTTCCTACACCTATTGTTCCTGTTATAGCTCATAGATCTTATAGATATATTATATACTCTATATTTTGTGAGCTAGCCGGGAAGGGGCCGAATTAAATCATGAATACTAGAGCAAGTATTCATAGTTCAATGGATTTTTTGTATATTTCAAAAATTGAAAATTATCTATAATTATGTCTATGTCTTTTAATTAATAGAAAAACCAACTACTCATGTGCTACATGCATCTGCAGAAAGTGGATACAGCCTCTTATCATGGTGGCCGCTAAAAACCTTGCTTGCAGTTTTAATACTTACTCAAATAATTCTAGCTTTATGGCCTTCTTTTGTGGTTGAGCAGTATGGAGTAGAGTTGCGCGACAAATATATTGAGGCATTGACAAAATACAAGGATCCAAAATATAGTAAATTTCCTACAGCTGGTCCTTCGATTTCTGTTAATATTCCATTTATACCCTTAATATCAATTGTAGTTAAAAATAACACAAAAAGAACTGCTCACTGGTTACTCAGTACAACTCCTAAGGATATCATTCAAAATGAGAAAGTTGTGAAAATTCAAATTGAGGATATATTAAAGCCGGTGTCAGACAAACAGTTAAAATTTCTACTAATTGAAGGAGAGCCTGGCATAGGGAAGAGTACGTTGGCTAAAGAGCTAGTGTTACGATGG